AGATAAGGAACGGGTGGAAAGGCATGCAGAAGTCAATGACAACGCTGATGGGAGAAGTCAGACGCTGTAGGAAGTTACTTCCAGTCCTTTGATCTTTCCACTGGAACACATTGAATTTTATGCATAACATCTCAGCTACTCTATAAACTCTAAGTCCACTTAAAATAACCTCCCAAATGTTAGGCATTCAGGAGATTGACATTTTTTTAAAAAATATTTGGAATACTGAAATTAATCTAAAGCAAACAAACTTTTGTTTGTGTCCAAAAAAAAATAAGACAGTTTGACATTATTCTCATAGATATTAAAATTGTCACAGTAGTAGCCAAAAGAAATTGACTGAATTCTGCACATTTTACTTCTCCCCTTCACATAAATGCCTACCTGGCTGTTCATGAAACTCCACACTAACCACCAGGGAAACACAGTGAGGGCTGATGAATAATGCACACAAAGTCCACTATATCTGGCTGGCTGACCATACAGTTCTGCAATGAACAATACTACTGACTCTGTAACTTGCTTTTGAGCCCTGTTAGACAGATGCTTAGGATCAAAATCGGATGACAAACCTAGATGCATGGAAAGGATCTTACACCAGAACCCTTTATTCAGCTTTCAACTTCATACCAGGCCAGGTTCACTGCAACTGGCATGCTACAATGCCAGATTTTCACTTAGCTACACAGGAAACTAAGCTCAGTACCCAAAGATGCCAACTTCTTTTATGTTAGTCAGACTGATCCCCACCCTTCCACATGTGCTTGGAGTTGATCCAGCCACATACCTAAAAGGAATCATGTGTTTTCTTCAATCCTTATGGTACTGTGTATGTGGCATCTGTTTGTTTTTTCCCTGACACAACTTTGTGCAGCAGTATGTTGATAAGACTGCTCTTATTTATTTTTTGTACTTTTTGCAGCACCAAAAAGTTGTATAGGTCATATGCTAGAAACTGTACAAAATACAGAAGATCATCTCTATTCAAGAGCTTGAGAGACCCCATTATTTAGTGGGAGAACAAACAGTTTAACCATGGCTGCACCTGCTTCAAACTATTCTACTGATCTTCAGACCTTAGGCAAGATCCTTTCTGTATGTGTCTCCATTTTGCAATGATTGACTGTCCTGCCTTCACCTCCTGGTTCTCGAATTCATGCATGCTTATGGTCTTCTTATTGGTACCTCATCCTACATCAGGAGCTTGAGTCTATAACTCTTCATCATGCAAGCAGTCTATGTAACTCAAAGAGTCTTCCTGTGTGAGTGAAGATTAGTAAGACTTCAGAAGGCTGATGCAGCACTCCACAGAACACAAAATTTTTATAAATGGTGCTCGCACAGCAGCTTACGTTAGGCACATTCTAAAACATTTAAACTGATAGGAATTATTCTGATGACTTATAATATGCACTGAATATGGTTCCAGAACAAATACAAGGGGTTTTTTTTGTGATGGATCTATCACAGTCTTTTTTTTTGAGTAAGGATTTCTTTAAAAGTGATTTCCACAACTGCAACCCAAGGTAGATATGAAGTTTCTGGCACTGGACTTGTACTATTGCTACACAGCTTAGCTGTTAGATATGGGGCTATGCCATCAGCAGGTTCACCCAATGATGATAACATTTACTTTACAAACACTTACCATTTATTTTCATTATTTTCTGCCATTAGAAAGCAGCCTGAGTGTGTGGGAGACGTCAGGACAGTAAACAAAATGGTAATCTCTGATATTAAGGGAGTAAGGTCTGTTTGCTCCCAAAAAACCAGAAGACTACTCAAACAAAAATAATCAATTTTGGGTTCATGGTTTCTTAAAATATGTTTTTCTTCAAAGACAATCCAATAATACTCAGTATTTATCCTAGCATTCATAGAGCAATATTTATTCTAACAGTCTTTGGAGGGATAACAGCAGATTGGATTTGAGTTGAAAGGAGATCTACACCTTTCCCTCTCCCCTACCCCAGAAACAGCTCATAGTAAAAGGACAAATTTTCTCCTTTGAGTGGTCTTTAATTAATACAATTGCAAAACATTTTGGTGAATTTGGTATGAGCAAAATGACACTTTGGCACAATTGGCATTTAGCAAATTATATCTTTACCACATAAGGACATCAACATTTTTCCTTTAATTCTTTTGGTAGCTATTCTGTGAGAAACAGTAAAACAGCAGGTACAGTTTTGTGGACCATCAAGCCACATTACTGAGTATTAAAACAAATAAAACACCTAAAAGACTAGGCATTCCATTTTGGAAATTATGTCAACAATGTAAAAGTGATCACTAACCACTTATCATCATACATCTTTAAAGAATTTTCAATACATGAGTAAAGACTTGTCACAGATCAGAGGCTAAGTACACATTAAAATGTTAGGCATTAACCATTCTGTTGCTATTAAAGATAGCTGTAATCCACAGATAACACTGCTGTAATTTGAGTAAGCGTCAAGGTGATCCAGGAGTTTAGCAAATTTTAACTGTCTAAAAAAGCACAACAATTCTGAAATCATGTCACCTCCAATCTCAAGTGCCAATCTTTCTCTTTTCTCCCCTGAACAACTCTTCATTCAACTCAAGTTTAAAAGAATGACAAAGAAATGCTAGAGACAGACTAACTAAGGAAAATCTCCAACCCTAAACTCCAAATGCCTGCTTAAACAATAGCACCACCTTCCTTCCATCTGCATTCTGCCACGTTCTTGAATTTAGTGTGGCATCATGTGCACAAATGCTGTGGCGAAATGGGGCTGACAGCACTATGTGACATGAGGGACATACACTGGCCTATTTACCTAGGACAATTACCACCCTGAACAGGCCTTTTGTATTAAAGCTGCTGCTTCATTATCTAACACCCCCTACCCTTCTCCCTGGCACTGTTTCCCAAAGAAGTCAAAGTCTTGTCTGCAAACCCAGAGGCTCCATCAATTCAAGTGAAGTCAGTCAACAGAAATTAGTACAGTACTAACTAGACAGGTTAGTGTCATAACTGTAAATACAATTCCAACACAGATCAACATAAATGAGGTCAGAATCCACTTAAAACTCTAACACAGACATTTTCATTGGGTTTAACTAATGTTATAAAAATCTGGCATCATTTACACTATTTCAACTTTGTTTATCAACTAGCTGTAAGCCGCCCTGCCTCACATAAAACTGCATGAAGAGCGATACAAGATTTGGACATATAAGCCTCAAGGCCCTCAGGGCAGCTTTTTCATTGCTTTGTAGTTTGTCTGGGCAATTATCTTTGTGAAATGCAGTGCAAACCCTACTATTCTGATTTGGCGGTGAGCTATGAGTCAACTGTTTTGACCTACCCAAAGAGGGTTCTACACACTCAGCAGCACCATCTCTTTATTTCTGTATAACAATTAGGGGAAAACGTTTTGAGATATTTGAGTAAAAGGTACTATAGAAATAGAAAGTACTGTTTAAATAAATCACATTTATCTAGGCTTTGAATTAAGAACCACAGTCACTCCTAATGGATTAAAACATGACATGTTTTACTTACCTCCTACGCATGCTTGTATCCTTTTATAAAAGGCTAATATAGAGATTCTTTCATAGTCTTCCATGCACTAGAAGAGCTAGATGGTCTATGATCATCAATACACAGATTAAGAAGCACCTTGGGGGCTGGACGAAGCCAGCCACCTCATTACATATGGCCCACAGTCACATTAGCATTATCCTATAGTAATATGAAAAAAAATAAGATTAATATTAATGTTTGCTCTTTCCCCTCCAAAATCTATCAAAAAGACCTGTCTGGACTTTCGGAAGGAAAAGGTTTCCGAACTCTAGTCTAAGCCACAGAAGACAAGAGAACTACTGTCATTACAAAGCTATGATATCTCTTGGCATTGCTTACTTCTGTACAAATAGCCAAAGCTGTCTTTCTAAGGGTCTGATCTTCTTTCTCCTCCACTGCATCTGGTCAAATTGTACAATGACTTCAACAGAACATGATCTGAACCCAGACCTGCACCTAACAAGTATCTAAGAACCTAATGGTTCTTAGATTAGATAAGGTGGGGCCAACACTTGGAAGCAGAAAGCTGAGTAAAAAGAGAGGCCTGGTTTTGCCTTACGCTTTCCTTTAGATGACCATTTGGGTATTTTTATTCCTCAACACTTGGGACCAAGACAGAGAGAAAGAGTTGCTGCTTAGACCCTCAGTGCAGAAGTAAACCCTCAAAGGCTCATTAATTGAAGCCAAGCAGGCAGTGTCATGGCAGGCCACTTCAGTCAGTCTTCCTAGCACTTCAAGGTAAAAGTATCACCGATTTTTAGCACATGATTCAAACTCCCAAAATGTTTGATTCCCGAGCGATCCTGAAGAGGTGGTGTCCTTTTTCTACAAATGTGCAAATGAATGCCAGAGTCAGAGAAAGATATTCTCTACCTTTTATTAGCCAATTTGTAGTCCCAGTGTACAATTTTTACAGTATTGAGACTTGCAGAGCATTTGGTACATACAAAATATTTCTCCCATTGACCTGTTTTAGTTGCAACTGTTCAGCACTTCTGCAAATCAGGCCTCGGGGGAAATAAGAAAGATGAAATTAGTTGACCACCCTTGAAAAGTTTGATCAAAGTATGTTGCCAAGCAACACAAATTCTGGTAGAGACAGTGATAAAATTCTGTTCTCTAAAGAAGCCTTAAATTCCTTTGTGACTATCTTCTCCTCGTCCTGCAATCCTCTCCTTTATTCACTGTGTCCCTCAACCTCTGCAATAAAATGAGACTGTGCTAAATTAGTGTCTTTTCCCACACAATCCTTGCACAGGCTATCACACTTCTGGTATTTCTAAAGTGTTAGCATAACTTTAGACTGTGAGTGTGTATGAATTCCTCGCTTCGCTCTCCCTTACTCTTACTTATTAATAAAACTAAAAATAGTTCTACCAAATGAGGTAATTCTTGTACTTACCAAAGTGATTACAAGGTTAGGTCTTTCCTCTCTTTTTTCCCATACCTAACTCATGCTCGGACCTAATTTTCTCCTCTCTTTCTGTGTCTCCACCATTCCACAGCACATCATTTGGGCGCAGTCTCCTCCGCACCAACTGTCTGCTCATCTTCCCACCCCAGCACCTAGAACATCTGTCTTCACCCAGCCAGCCTGTCCCAGTTATAGCAGATATCAAAATCCAGCCCAAAGATTTGATAAAGATGTAGGCTTTGTAACTTATTTCAAGCTTATCAAGGAAATCTGTTTCTCTCAGATGCTGATTCCATTTTTATCACGCTTATATATGCAAATATATGTATGTGTGTGATGTGGTATACATCTGTGTACAAATGTGCATATTTGCAATGATAATAAATGTGAATGTAATTTATATGAAAGTTTTAAGAGTGGGTTATGGAAGAGCTTCTGGGAGTAGGAGTGGGGATATGCCTGGGAAAGTGAGTACCTGGACCAGCAGTTGCAGCAGTAAAAAGATACTTGAGGAAAGGGGCATGCACTGCACTCAGCAAGGACAGAACCAGGGGCCACAGGCACTAAGCTGAGGCTCTGCTTTTTAGCAAAGGTCCTGAAAGAAAGTAATCCCAATGGGGGAAGACTGTGAAGCAGTGATTAAGCTTTAGTCTCCTAACACCCATGGATACTTCTTGTTCCAGATCTTTCACACTCTTCTCCCTTCTCTGGCAAGGGATTCTCAGAGCTGCTCCATCCCCCCATTATCGCATACCCTGGATGCAGGGGCAAACAAGTTTAGAAACTGTTGATCTGCAGCAATAGTCAGCAGCAAAAGTGTTGGAAAAAAAGAATACAAAAATAGGCAGCAAAGATAGATCCTTCATCTAAAACCTTCCAGTCAGTACAGCTAGAGGTTTAGGAGTCTCCTGAGCCAGAGATTCCACTGTATTAACCTGGCAACAACTGAGAATAATAATAATGCCTTCTCACACTTGCTTCATGTTCCTTTAGTACCTGCAGAGCAAAATAAGGCCCACAGCTCTCGTCTCTGGGAAGAGACAGCCTACAGCCTGTGCAAGTCAGATGTATATTTAGCAAGATCAGTGAAGCTCTGCTGACTTACTGTGCACAATATCATTTAGGTTGGAGTAGCATCCAAAAGCTCCAGTTAGGAGGAGAGTTCCATCCTGTCAGGCAGCAGATGAATACCTACAGTCATGCATGCCCTATCCCAGGGAGACAGGCCAGGCTGCCTTCATATGCTTCTAATTGGGCTCTCCTTGAAACTGATCCTGAATCTGCAACATTTGCAGAACGTAGCTGTTTGTTGACTCCGCTGGACTGAACATGAGAATTACTTTAGTCCACCCCTTGTGAAACGCAGGCCTTGCCAGTATAACAAAGGATAGAATCATAGAATGCTTTGTGTTGCAAGGGATGTTTCGAGGTCATCTAGCCCAACCCCCGTGCAATGACCAGGGACATCTTCAACTAGACCAGGTTGCCAGAGCCCCATCCAACCTGGCCTGGAATGTTTCCAGGGATGGGGCCTCCACTACTTCTCTGGGCAATCTGTTCCAGCGTTTCACCACCCCTATTGTAAAAAATTTCTTCCTCATATCTAGTCTAAATCTATTCTCTCTTAGTTTAAAGCCATTGTTCCTTGTCCAATCACAACAAGTCCTGCTGCCAGGCTGAACAGCCCCAACTCTCTCAGCCTTTCCTCACAGGAGAGGTGCTCCAGCCCCCAGATCATCTTTGTGGCCCTCCTCTGGACCTGCTCCAACAGCTCCATGTCCTTCTTGTGCTGGGTCTCCAGAGCTGGACACAGTACTCCAGGTGGGGTCTCACCAGAGCGGAGTAGAGGGGCAGAATCACCTCCCTCGACCCACTGGCCACACTTCTCTTGATGCAGCCCAGGAACTCAAAGTCTAATGATAAGGTACAAAACATACCTTCATCCTCCAGGCTCGAAGTATTTGACAGGCTTATCAATTTCTGTCTATCATAAAAAAATTGATCTCAGCCCTGTAGGCTCAATAAATAGGACATTTATAGTTCAGACATCTTTAACTGCCTATAGGAAGTTGTTAGCTCCATCCAGCTTTTTCAGGTGACATTCTGACCTTCCTTTCCTTTTAGGGAGAAAAAAAGGGGAAGAAGAAAAAGAAAGAAGAGGTAGTACACACCCATCTTCCTCCTTTTTTATCCTGCATCACAAAGAAATTGACATTTTGCTGGTGACCACTGGTAGTTACCTGCTCTCAAGTCAGCACTTTCTGATACAGCCTTTCCTCATGCTTTTTTCTCCGTGATATTTACATGCTGTTTTAGACAGCTTGTATAAGTGTTTTCAACAATGCAAAAATGTTGAGCACCTAAATATGATACGAGATCCATACTGTCATTTACATCATAACTAATCAACTCTATGCGAGAGATCATTAAGCTCAACATCTTCAGAAAAACTGTTTTGAGGCTCAGAAAAGAAGGAAAGCAAAGTCCAAGTCCCAAGTTCAAATGATGTATAAATTCCATCCCGTAAATAACAAGTAGAACATTTTCTTGCCCGCAGTGGGAATTAAAACTAACTGCTGTCCTTCTTCAGGAGCAGCTAAGTTAGGTAAGGCACAAGGGAAGGGAGGCCACATGAAACACTTGTAATACTTCAGCATCACCAGAGTTTAACCTGGGAAGGCTTTTACTGGAAAGCTTCCAGCTCTGACAGCTCTTTGTTACATAGTGGATTTTATTCCACAGCTGAAGACCTTCAAAATAACAAAACCATGCAAAGGAAAAGCAGATTGACTTTTTGGCAGGAAGTCAATGTGCAAATACTAATGAAATAATCTCAGTAAGTGGTCAGACTCCTCAAAGGTCAATAGCTACGTAGTGAAGAACTTCAGCATTTAAGTTATTAACAATTTTGTCTTCAAGGATTCTGACAGTTTCTGTGCTCTAAGTTAAGGGTTTAAAAAAAAATAAAAACAAGATCTGATGACTGAACAGTCAAGCTCTCTATATCTCTATCTCTGTCATTCTTCAGACAAAAAGATTTTCTTGTTCCTGTGGAAGTTACCAACCCAATTCCTACCTATGTAGGACCAGAACCAAAAGCAACTAGGAAAGTGGACTGTCATCAGCGCTCTTTCTCATTTGTTTCTGGCAAAGTGCACTATGAAACACCCAGTCTCATTTCCACCTTCCATTGCCAGCATCCTCCCTGTTAGTCTATATCCTCATTCTTGTATCTGTTCCTCCACTTTTATTCCACCCCTCACAACCAAATACTTTTTATCCCCCGTAGTGGTCTACTGTCCTTTTTCTCTCCTAACTCAGAACTAAGGACACACTAATGGGTGCAAGCAATGAAAGAGGGTGAATAGGAGAAGAAAATTATCCTCAGGGAAGAAAGTGAATGACCTCAAACTGCCTAAGCTTTGAAACACCTTAGGTGAAAGTCATTTGCTGTCCCCGCAGTCCAGTTTTGGTAGAGTGAAAGTTAGTGGTAAAACCTTCAGCAGTTTTAATGAGATTAGAAGCAAGACTACAAGCAGAATTAAGCACAGCTTAAGTCTTCCAGTTACTCTGTGAAGCAGCTTCAGTTCTCACTTGTACCACTTTAAATTATGGAGCACTGATAAATTTACTGTTTTACACCTTTATGGATCAGGATCAGTCCTACTGTGCTACTGAGAAATATAGTATCCCTGGCACGGTGATAATTAACACAATGACATATTTTCATGGTTAAGGACACCACTTCTATTAATTGTACATGAAAAAACATTTTGTCCCGCTCTTGACTGTATTACTTTCCATTTTCTTAAGCTGGGAACTTAAAAAAATCTCTCACTTTCTTGATGCTACTTTAGATGGCCCCTTCATTTTGCAAATCTCCACAAGTACAATATTTGCCTCTTGTAAATCACAAGGAAAAAATTTGCATGTAGGGTAGACAATCATCTTGCCTATGCTCAGAAATTGTATTGGATAAATTTAAACTGGGTTTACTAGGTTCACTTTAGCCTCTTCCAAATAAACAATCTAAATGAATACAAACCAGGTTAATTTCATCTTATGAGTGTCTATACAGCTTTTTGTAGCCTTTTATTGAAATGGATTTATTTAAAATCACTTTTTATTTAGAGTTTGCTTTTAGAACATTAAGTATCCCTAGCCAACAGAAAATCATAAACATAAACACAAAATACTAGGAGAGATTACTGAATTTCCACTCCTCACTGTGTGTGTTTAGACCAGTTCAAACATGGAAGGGTTGAAGTTTTTCTTCTTGTAAAAACAGTAGGGGTAGATCTCATTTCCACTTAATGTACTATCCATTTATTAGCTTCCTTATCCCTAACACAGGTCAACTATGAAAGAAATGTGAACTAAATCCTAACCTTCCTTGAACCACAGAATCAGCAAAAACTTAACCTTTCTGATCCAACTCTTTACTAAATAAAACAAAAGCTTAAGAGAATCTGGCTATATTGACATGTTTGGGATTGTTAGTCAGATCCCATCAGTTCCAAATCAGAATAATAAAGAAGCTGAAATGAGAACTCTGATCTGCTAGTTGGATTTCTGCATCTCTCACCACCAATTTGAAACATATGGAAAGTGAATTCCACACTGGCACAACGCCCTTTCGACTCGCACATCAAAGCACTGCCTCTTCAGACAAAGATACACTGAAGTTGAGAAAGCCTAAAAGTAACATCTATATATAAAAGAGTGTCACCACTACAGACAGGACGAAAAGCAGAGCTAAGCATTACAGAGAAAGTGATCTCAAGGAAAAGCAAAGGCACCGCAGGTGACACACATAAACGGAGGTGGGAAATTAAGTGTTACAGATATACAGGTTTAACGTCCAGCATTAAGACATTTATATACAAGGGAATAGCTGTTGACTATGACACTACCAAAGTGCAAATGCAGCAATATGAAAGAAACACAGACATTTTACCCAGTTTGTAAGTGGCACGTACCTGGACTTGGATAAATCAGAAATATTTCACCAATGTATTTGCAATTCTACTGCTATAGCACTCATAACACACTGACAGTGAAAACTGCTCATGAACAGTGCAGTAAGTTCCAAGCTTCTAAGCGCTTACTGCAGTAACATGGTCTGTTTCCCAACAT